TCTGCAGGTGTGTCAGTTGTGAACAGCATGGTGAGTGGGGAAGAAGGAAGTAGTCTCACGGTTCAATGCCTTTACACTCAGAGATTCAGGTATTTGGTTTTCCTTTGGAGGATTTTATCCACATTTTATCCTTTAAAACCCTTAGAACTGTCCTTAAAGAAGCACTGACCACACTTCAGTAAATGTGGGAATTTGTCCAGAAACTTTCATTGGTATCAAACGCTGGTGGACAGTGAGCATTCACTGACTCTTCTGTGACTGCCTGTCAACAGACTAAGTGAGAAGAAGTGGTGTCGGAGCGGAGACCCGAGCTCCTGTCTGTCGACAGGTTCTGAAAGGAGTTACGAAGATACTTCAGTGACCATCAGCGATGACAGAACTGAGGCTTTCACTGTAACCTTAAAGAAGCTGCAGATGAGAGATGCTGACTGGTATTTATGTTCTGCAGGGCAGCAGCAAGTAGCCGTACAGGTTCAGGTCAGACCACACGGCTCTACTAGTAAGTTGATAAAGAGCCTTTCATATTTTAGACATTAAAAACATAACAAATTACACTTTTGAGCTTTGCTGTCTAACTGACTCGAAACTGTGATAATTAAACTTCATTATGGATTTTCTGTGTGCTGATATCATCAAGGATGATTTTTTTTTCATCACAGGGAGTCTAGAGTTAGTCAACATCCTTATGTTGAATAACTCTAGACTTCCCTCTCTAGAAATGCACCCCGTATATTTTTATTGTTATTCAGCCAACATTTAAAAGATTTATGACACAAAATCACATGTAACACAGTTGGCTGTAAAAGAAATACAAAGAGCAACACAGCTGACGGCATGCACTAAGAGGAAAAGAGAAACCTGTATTCAGATAAAAACATTGCTATTTTCTCTCTGTTTCTCTAAATATTAAGTGCTTCTCTCAAAATCAGCATGTGGTGCATTAATTAGACTAAGTCTAAATCATGATAGAATGTGTTATCAAGGAAAACTGGGTGACAGATAACACAATTGACAATTCTTTAGTTTTAGGCCTCGCTAACATGTCACCTCTAAATGCAGCCTAGTGTTAATTTGAATAGCAAAACTTGACATTTAGCTAAATGGCCAGGAAAAAATAAATGATGGAAACTGTTGATTTTTAAAAAATCAATTAAAAACAACTATGATATTTATCATTGCCTGAAATGAATGTTTGGCTGATAAAGCTCGTTGACATGAAATTGACCTGTAACTGTAGAACGAACCAAAAATTGCTAAAATGCTAAACAGACATAGTCTGAGATTGTGTCATTATTGTGGTTGCAAATGATTTTAACAAACATAATGCCATTTTGTGTTATAGACAACATTATTTTAAGTGAAAGAAAACAAACTAAGACCCTTCCCATGTTTCACAGTCCTTACATGCTAATACAGGCATATTTACCATCTCTGTGTTCTTAGGTTAGAGTAATAGCAACATTTCCAAGACAAATAAATGATTGCAGCTTATCATTTGCATAACCTACTAGCATTTTAAATCATGCATTGTAGTTTTTTTGTGATTGCTTGGCATTTTCTCCATGTCACCTTGTAGCTGCTGAAATGGGAAGAAGCAGCTTTAAAGATCAATATGTGTTTGTGACAGATGGCAGAGGCTCTCCAGTCTCTACTTGTTCAGGGTATCGATTATTAAAAGTCACCTATGAACAATATTGATGTTAGGATGCTGGAAACACTCTTTACCTATCACAGCATATTTACAGAGTTGTTACAATATCTTTACCTTCAAAAACAGAGCCCGTGACATCCCCACCTACTCCGAGTCAGCCCTGGAACCGTTACCGGTAAAAGTCAGCACTTCTTTATTTTCACTTTAATGGATGTCGAAGGTGGATCGTCTGCTCAGTCTGCTTTGTGCCTGCTTCCTAGTTACATGTTGGAGTCTATAGTGGGGTGTTCGACTCTCCTGCTTCTAGTGGGCTTGGCTGTATTGGCAAGAAAGATACTGCACAGTAAGGCAACTTAATATTCCTTTGAATTTTAAATTGTTATTAAGTGTGGTGAGAAAAAATGTCGTTTTGTGTGTTGTGTGTGGAAATGCATGTTGTGTGTAGTCGTAGTGTGTGGGCAGTGTGTGCGTGTGCGTGCACCAGCCACAAATTCTATATATAAATAAAGATTTATACGATATAACAAAATGCATTAAATATATCTGACTACTAATTCGCATTTATATTTTGGGCATTCTTTCTAGAGAAGGCTTCTTCACGCTTTAAGCAGACGGAAGAGATATTCCCTGTAAGCCCCCATTATCATGGCCATCTCTGATCTATTACACTCCTTAAGAAACACAGTTATCAGGGATATTTTTTAATGATTAGATCACTCATTCTCCTTTCTGTCAATTACAGGATAATCCAAAGGGCATGAGAGACCTGCAACGAAGCAAGTAACACATTAAGTGTTTGACAACAAGGGTACAATGAACCTACTTGCTTACTAAGATCATTTTGTGAATTGTTAATTGTTACTCTTTGTAACTGAATGTAATTTTTCTATTAATTTGCCACACAGAACATACGGTCTTTGGTCCAGTTTTTTTACCAAACCAAACCACGTCTGAACAAAGCTATATGTTGTGCTTCCTGCAATATAAATTTGGCACATTATAGACTTGGCTTATATAGACTCAGTATTTTAGACTCAATAAAATAAATCAAAATACACGTGTATAATTATATGTGACTTTTTATTTATGTACCAGACTCTATATATTTTTGCAACCTGTGACCTTTTTGCTCATTATAGTGGTCTTATGACAAAGTAGCATTTAGGTGGAAATCTATGCGTAAAACTTTCCTTTTTAGTTACACTTCAATAGACCTAGAGTGTTTGGGGCTTCCCATGATGTACTGATGGTTTCTTCTTCACTACACTTTTTTCACTCTCTCTGTGCTTACATGCCACTTTAAATTTAATCATCATTATTAATCTCCGGCCCTCCTTCACTGTGTATTTAATTTGTCCTTTCTTGCTCAACAAAGCGGTCGGTGCAGATGTCTTCCCCTCCCTGAGCCTGATTCTGACAGGTTTCTACCTGTTAAAAGGAAAAGGGAGTTTTTCCTTCCCACTGTTGCAAAGTTCTTGTTCAGGGTTAGCTCATTGTAGTTATATATAACACCTCGAGGCGAGTGTTGTGATTTGGAGCTAGATAACTAAAATTAAACTGAATTGAATCTGCCAATCAAAGTTGCAGCTGAAGAGAAGGAACACTCACTTGGGGTTTAAGTGTTTGTGTTTCACAGATGGTGTATATGGACACTATAGTTTAAGTTGGGCTCTGCTTTAGTTTCTACTACTGCTGAGAGACATAATGCAACTGAGTAGGGGGTTTTGGTACTGTATTTGCTCAAAAGGGCCAAAAGTGCAAAAATGATGTCAAGTACTGTCAAGAGCAGACCCACACAGAGCTCTCTTTAATTGTCTTTAATGCATCCACGAGTGCAGCAGTTCCAAGAGGAAGCAACTGTTACATGTCAATGAAACTACTACTACAATGAAACTACTACCAATTAAGAACAAAACTGACTAGTTCAACATTGTAAGACTTTCTTTTTGTTATCTTAAGGCAACATAGTTATTGCAGTCAATTAAAATAACATGTTAACACTGATGGTTCCCAAGAAATCATAAAGCCTGCATATATAATGTACATATGAAGTGGTAATGTTTTCAGCTCCAAACTGCTGCTTGTTGCTACAAAGACCAAACAGAAAGAATATCCAATGCAAACAGTAAATCTTGTCTGCCCAAAAAGCCCATGAGACCCAGAGGGCGAAAATGATTTCAGTTTTTGCTAGTATTAGTGGAACCAGACTGCACTGTTTCATATGTAATATCGTCATAATGATATGGCTAATTAACACATTTAGACATGGATATAGTCTGACTGAAAACTTGTGGAGGAAAATGTACATGACGTTAGCGTAGTTGTGAAAATAGGACGTCGGCGAATTAACTCTGAAAGGAAAAGCTCTACATTTTATGCTTGAAGTGTCTGTTCTCATACTGAACCACAAACCGGGCTTTAGAATTGTAAATTGCACAAGCTAATGAGCCCATGATTAAACTAGACCTTGAAAATATTATATTAATATTTAGCTAACCTTCGTTTGAGGGGTAAAAAATATCAAAATTCAAAGAGTCAAGATTCATTCACTGTGCCATACCAGCACCTATGTTCAGGCATGGCAGGTGATACTTTTGTTTATGAACTGCAGCCTTTTAACAGGAAGAAACATGCTGTGGAAGATAGTCAGAGATTAATAACAAGTATGATTCAATGCAGAGATGTCTATAGTAAGTGACCGATGGTGATGTGTCCTGTGTGTCGAAGCTTTGAAGCGTGAGTCGAGTAATCTCGGGGGAGTTTTTGTGAGGCTTGCTTTGATTACGTATACAGTGATGTTCGAGGCCTCGCGGGCAGTCCGTACCATGTGACTGATTCAGGAACTGGCTCGCCGGTTCGCGCCAGATTAGACATAAAATGGGCAGCAAAACACAGCTGATTCCCCATCACTTTGTGTTGTGGAATTGGATTACGTACGTGCTACATAGTTACTTGAGCATTTCTACTTGATGGAACGAGCAAGGAAGAGAAGATTTTCCCCTGTCTGGCAACATTTTCATCTCATCTCTCCTAATAAAGTATGCGCACAGTAATAAATATCACGAATGATAAGTACCATAATATAAATGAACAACACACAGATTCCTATAATCTGATTTCTGTCCTTTAGTTTATTAAAGAGTGAAGCGTCACACACTAGTTTGTGTCATGATTACACAGTTACACAATCATACCAAAACTCTGTCCCGATAGTTTCCACTTTCTCTTTCGTACCAGACATACTGAGACAATATTCATGATAAATAACCATGAAAACAATTTATTTGTTCAGTTTAGAGGTTTACACATCACATCATTATAATCACAGAGCCTGTTTCACTTGAATCGTCCACTTGATGGCGCAGTAGAGCAAATGAATCATCACAATGCTTCGAACCATGAGTCGACCAGTTGGATGGAAAGCTTCAGTTCACCACAAGGCTTCATCTCACCATCACTAGGTACAGCCTATGCTCAGTGATGTATGCAGCGCTTTAAAGGGCAGCGATGCCAAGCTTTTAAATCACCTTGTGTTGAACTCAGAGCTGAAGCTGGAGTGATAGCGTGTTCATTTGTTTATTTTCTTTCTTCAAACAGCAGATCTGACTGAGTCATTTGAACCATTTATGAAGAATCTTGATAGGCAAAAAGCGATCAAAGCAGAGGTATGAGGTCATAGATTGTGGTGCAGAGCTGCGTTCAGCCATGCAAACACATGCAAAGTTTTATGCCTGATGCAAACAGTTTGCTGACATCTGGGTACTCTTTCCTTTTGTATAAATGCATATTAAAATAAATAAATAAATTAGACAATATTCAAAAAACTTGATGGAGAACAGGCACAGTATTTCACTCCCTGCATGGTCGCTTTGCTAAACCTGATCGTGTCTCTGCTGGAGTGTTTAAAAAGCTATAATTGAGCAATGTTTTCATAGCTATGGTTTTGCTTAAAATGTTCGTATTCAAATGGACTCATTAGCTGTTGTTCAGCAATAATGAGCAATGGATTTGTTTTCTGTACCAAAGCAGTTTTGCTATTGTAACTGCAAACTGGACTGCTGAGCCAGTAGATTAAAAATTTGTCAGTTTCGGATTTGAATCCAAAATTTGAAGCCAACACCTGAAAAAAGTCTTCCACACATTTATTATGGCAGCAAGCTGACACTGTGTGTGTTTAAAGCTACAAAGCAGAGATGTCGACCCCACAAGATGCAGTCAGCAGCCTTAGCTCTGTTAGACCAGTAGGTGTGCAGGAGCCCTGTTTTATATGATAGCATTACATGTGTTGTGTTTGAACCTCTGGTTATTTACTTGTTTTGTTTGTTGTTGCATTCTCAATCATAATAATTCTCTGTAATAATAAATATTTTCTTCCAGTGTCTGTTTTCTGTGACCTTTTGAATGAAAGGAGGAAAGCACAATAAATGTGACCTTTGAGAGGAAATCTATCTGTATTTGACATTTATAAGTGTGCTTTCTTACTTAAAGTGTAACGAGCTTTATATTCAATATTTTATTCTTATTTTTGTATCTTTAAGGTCTTGAGCATCAAGTGGTGTTACTTCTCTCCCACTTAATTTTCACATGTCATATGAAGTGATAAACCTTCCACTGAAATGCTTTGCCTAACAAAAGAGAGAGCGAGATAAAAAGGAGCCGTGACTCCCTGCAAATTATGATATTTAAATATTTTTATCAACTTCAAACATATTCCATAACAGGACAGACAGGAGGACCAAACATCTAGTCCAACTCTTATACATTTATGGTAATGCGGATGACATCTGGAAAAAGAGCATTTTTAATGGTTTTAATATGGGTGTGGTATGACTGCTGTAGGCTACACAACCCATGATATATAGTCAGGAAATGTTTTCTGTCAGCAGTTGTTGATGTGAGCACGCCTGCAGGCACGTAAATGACAGCAGCACAAGGTTCTGCGTGTGCTTTGCATGCAGGTAAATAGTCACATTGAGACAGAAGGCATCAATTATGTCTTTTTTCTTATTGAATGTGAAACCGTATAAACATGGGTGCAATTTGAGTCTAGTGTGGACACAACTTTTTTCTGATTTCAGATGCACAGTTAATGCTGATCCCCACCAAACTTTTCAAATCTACTCAGTTCAATTGCATTAAGTTTTGTTTATATCGCTCCAAATCACAACAACAGTCACCTCAAGGTGCTTATTATTATATTGTACATTGTACTGTAAGGTAAAGGCCCTACAATAGTACAGAGAAAAACCAGACAATCAGACAACCCCGCCTTTGAGCACTTGGCAACAGTGGGAAGGAAAAACTTGTAACAGGAAGAAACTTCCTGCAGAACCAGACTGCATTCCATGTTTATCTCAAATGTGCTGCAATCTCAGCCTAGATTTATTTATAATTAGCGATTATAAACCTATCCCTGTGTGGAAACTCTCATTAAATACAGTGGAATATTTGAAAAATGTTTACAAACAACTAAATAAGCAATTTTCAACTTATTGACTTTATAAGTGCCAGTTAGGGTTCAGATTGAATCATAGCGCAGAAACAGGTCAGTGACCTAAAGATCAATGGTGACAGAAAGTCTCATTCTTAGGTGATCTCATTGCTGCTTTTGACTCCGTGCATCATGACATTTTAATTCAAAAGCTTCATGACTCGGTTGGTTTAACAGGTCAGGTTCTTGACTAGCTCTCATTGTATCTAAAGAGCAAAAATTTTTATGTTGCAATTAGCAGTTTTAGATCTGCAAAAATAAAAAATCAATCAGGAGTTCCTCAAGGGTCAGTCCTTGGTCCATTACTCTTTAACTTTTACATGGTCCCACTTGGCACTGTCATAACAAATCGAAACATATCGTAGCGTTCTAATGCAGATGACACACAGCTGTACTTATCACTTTTCCTTCAGTTTATTGGAAATTCAGCAGCCAGACACCTTAGAGTTATGCAGAAATTTGACCGTATTAGCCAAGTATTAAAATCACTTCACAGTACATTGTACCTTTAAAATCCTTCTACTAGTTAACAATGCTGTCAATACTTTGCAGCTGTACCCTGTACTTTTAAAATATTTCATATGGGATATGTACTCATCACTTCTTATCAGCTGCATGAAACAATTTAAAATAGTAAAGCGCAATATGTAGGATACATATAGAGTTAAAATTGAAATGGAGTAGAAGAAGAAACTTCATGAAACTGTACCACTCAGTAAATTTCTTCTAAAGTCGGAGCTCAACACCTCCAGTGTTTTGAAAAGACTCCATCACACGCCAGTCACATGATCACTAATCTGAAAATGAGCTCAAACCAACCAGTTTGGCTCCAGTTTTTATCTAAGAGCCCCAGTGGGTGTGAAACAGCTACTGTAACTCCATTCAGAGATGATATCAGCCAGCCTTGCCTGTACCCATCTGTTCTTCCTCGTGGCTTTTATTCAAGTTTGATTATGAAAGCTGAACATGTCCTTTTAACCAGTGCAAAGCTCTGCAGCATTCCTCAGAGTATTCTGCTGTCTAAGGCCTTCGTGAGGAGAAAACATTGAACCATTGGACTTAAACACCACACCCATGAGATAAACACACTCCTTGCTAGTATGAAACCTATTATTACACACTCCTGTGCACACAAAGTATGTGCTAAACGTGCACATTCATGTGGTATGTAACTAATGCTGTGCTGTGCTGAGAATGCTGCCGTTTTAAGATTAGGAAGTAAAGAGAAACCGGAGCAGGGCTCAGGAGTGGGAGGGATGAATAACAGTTGTGACGTTACATTTTCCTGTTTAACAGCTAGTCCTGTTATCTATTCATGCCAATTTATGCAGCAGGAGTCACCTGATCTGCTGTCAGTAAGAACACAGGAGTGGTTGGATAACTTCCATTACAGAAGAAAAGCTGTAAGTATGAGCAGAAAGTTTTTTATTTAATTCTTAAACTGTGAAACAGATCAGGTCAAGCAGCATCATTAATTCAAAAGAGGAACAGCACATGTGCACCCCTTATTGGACAGTTGTTTAGATCGCCGGCCTGCTGCACAAAGCTAAATCCTGAGTATTCAAAGAGTACAGTAATAACACATGTAAAATGTTGCTAGTTGTTTGCATTTGAAATGTAACAAGCTTCACTTGTGTGCTTAAGACTATCCTCTAAAAAAGAAACAGCCACCTGTTTGTGCACTTGTTAACTGAATGCATTTAATTGGTGCCTTTACATGAGCTGCTTCCTCTTTAGTTTTGTAGCTTTCAGCGTAGTTAAAATCCACTCACTGCCCGATCAGCTTGTTCCAAGTATGGAATAAATCTTTATGATGACTGAAGTTTGTAATGATTGACTCAGTTAGAGCTGTATATGGCCTAAAAGCCTTCACTGTGTGTGCGCTGCAATGTGTTCTTAAGGGAGTTTGGAGTAAAATGCCTGTTCTTGGCTGGGGAGATTCATATAAATCCGTTTGTGTAGTGACTGCGTAGCAGTTGTCAAACTTAGCTCACTATAAAGATTTTAAAAAGGTGTAAAAAGTTGGCTGTGTCTCGCCGTGGCTTCACGTTACTTGGATAAGAAACCACCACTGCTGTTTTTACACCTTGGTTTATGGAGTAGATTAAACAAATAATATGAAAAGTTTACATTAGTGAGCTGGCTGGCTGATTCTGGTACTTCTGGAGAGAAGCAGTAATTATGCAAAGCTAAGGGCAATAAACTTTCATTTGTTAACCGCAAATTTGGCTAAACTGAATCTGTAACAAAGGGCGTAAAGTTCAGTTTTTACTAATCGTAGTTATTTGGTAATAACTGCCGGGTTGGGTTTTCTTCAGGAGCTGCTTTCCTCATATTCTCCTGTGGTAGGAGTTCTTCCAACACCACTATGTTTGTGAGCATTTAACCCTTTAACATCTAAGTCAGCGGTCCCCAACCCCCAGGCCTCGGACCGGTACCGGTCCGTGAGTCGTTTGGTACCGGGCCGCGAGAGTTGAGGCTCAGGTGTGAAATGTATGGTTTTCAGGGTTTTTATCGGTTTTCAGCGTTATTTTGTTATCGTTTTTATCGTTAACTCGGTTTTCCTGGGTCTTTTCACGTGTGTTATGAATAAATCTTCTTTTTTTCGGTACCGGTACTAGTTTTATTTTGTTGTATTTATCCGCGACACCTTAAAGGCCGGTCCGTGAAAATATTGTCGGGCATAAACCGGTCCGTGGCGCAAAAAAGGTTGGGGACCGCTGATCTAAGTCATTATGATACTCCCAACCCTTAAACCCGTCTACTAGCCTACGTCAGGACCCCAACCCTAATTGTTTAACACACTAGAAGAACTTGAGTGCAACAATACCTATAACTCAAGGCCCAGTAGTGACATATGATGGCCTGTGCATTGCTTTTATTCCCCTCTTTGCCAAATCAATATCAGATCAGATTGGGGAAGCCCAAAAAAACACACAGCCCTTGCCCCTCACCACCTGCTATTAACGTCTAACCCCAACTCTGAACTGGGACAATCAGAAAATGGACTTTTTATTAAATTGTTCTCTTCAGTTTTGTCCATTAGGCAACAAATGTGAACCAAGAGAGGGAACAAAGGGTGGAATTAGGGTCAACAAGGGTTAGAAATAATTCAATTCAATTCCATTTTATTTATATAGCGCCAAATCAAGGCAGCACGGTGGCACGGTGGTTAGCACTGTTGCCGCACAGCAAGAAGGTCCTGAGTTCAATTCCACCATCAGGCCGGGGTCTTTCTGTGTGGAGTTTGCATGTTCTCCCCGTGTTTGCGTGGGTTCCCTCCGGGTACTCCGGCTTCCTCCCACCGTCCAAAGACATGCAGCTTGTGGGGATAGGTTAATTGGATAATCCAAATTGCCACTAGGGGTGAATGTGAGTGTGAATGGTTGTCTGTCCCTGTGTGTTGGCCCTGCGACAGACTGGCGACCTGTCCAGGGTGTACCCCGCCTCTCGCCCTATGACAGCTGGGATAGGCTCCAGCGCCCCCCGCGACCCTGAAAAGGATAAGCGGTAGCGAATGGATGGATGGATGGATGGATAGCGCCAAATCACAACAAAAGTCGCCTCAAATAGGGACTCACACCTCAGAAGGTTAAGACAGAAACATATACTGTATATAAATGATGGACATGATCTTTCTGATCTAAAAATCAAAGCTAATTTCTACTAGAAAAGTCACCCTTGGTTTCTCAGACTGTCATCACACTTCTCACATTCACTATGGAAACACCAAGATGATGATAGAGGCAAAAAAGCACTAAGAGTAAAGCTTCAAGGCGGGACCAACCAATGAGATGGTGACAAGTTGGCAACGTTCATGAAGAAACTGAAACAACGTGGACTAAAAACCCAAAACAAACAAACCAAAAAAACCCTGAACACTTGTCAGAGCTGACTTGTCGGAGTTACTGCTCATAAATGACAGCAGTTAACTTGTGTAACTTAATACCATATTTCAGTTGATACATTTTATCTTAAATAAATAATTAATTAAAAACGTATTAATTTTAACCATTAATATCAAATGTACCTATTTCATTGCAGAATTTCCAAATATCTGGATTCACCTTAAATGACTTTGCATAATATTTTTACAGTCTTGCCTTTAAAATAAATGGTAAATGGCCTGTATTTGTATAGCGCTTTACTAGTCCCTAAGGACCCCAAAGTGCACACATTCACACACTGGTGATGGCAGCTACATTGTAGCCACAGCCACCCTGGGGCGCACTGACAGAGGCGAGGCTGCCGGACACTGGCGCCACCAGGCCCTCTAACCACCACCAGTAGGCAACGGGTGAAGTGTCTTGCCCAAGGACACAACGACCGAGACTGTCCAAGCCAGGGCTTGAACCGGCAACCTTCCAATTACAAGACGAACTCCCAACTCTTGAGCCACAATTGCCCCAAATAAAATCAAAACAAATTGCAAAAGTCTTTAATGTTTCTTGGGTTAAATTGCTGCTTTCATGCTTTGTGAAACTAGTCTCACACTTATGAGTTCAGAAGTGCTTTTTGTAGCAAGTCACTATAATTATACCTCTGATCTCTAAGTAAGATATTTTGATTGGTGGAAGAGTAGACTATTATTATATCACAGTAATAACATGTGGAAAGAATGGGTGTGTTAGTTTGGGAAACAATGACTCATTCATTAAGCACACTGAAGAGTGCAGGGTGTATGCAGCCTGAATTTCAAGAAGTGCATGCTTTAACATATTTACACAATTACACACACACACGCGCACACACGCACACAAGCAGAAGTCACAAGAGTGCTAAACGTTTGTTAATAAAGTCCTTTTGTTGCCTCAAGGTTGCTAAAATAATTTTTTTCTGGTAGTGTTTTCGGACATGAACAATACGTTTTATCGAGCTCTCCTCTCATCACGACATTCAGACATTTGCATTTACTCCCTCTGCCTGCAGCTTATCATTTGACTTCCTCATTTACAGTTCTGCAGGTCATGGCCTCCAACATGCTACCAGAAAAGCAGTTCTACTGTCCCGTCTGTGAGCAGGTGTTCACAGACCCGGTGACGACTCCCTGCGGACACAACTTCTGCCAAGCCTGCATTCAGAGCAAGTGGGAAGGCACTGACGTCTGCCAATGCCCCGCGTGTGACAGGTCGTTCCCTTCAAGGCCTGAAATAAGCATAAATATAGCTTTCAAAGAGCTCGCAGACACATTCAAACAGATGATAGTCTGCTCATCGGCCACGCCGCTGTCTTCAGCCCAGCCTGGTGAGGTGGTGTGTGATGTCTGTGCCGCCACGTCCCTGCAGGTGAAAGCACTGAAATCCTGCCTGGTGTGCCTGACATCGTACTGTGAATCCCACCTGGAGCCTCACAAGAGGGTGGTCACCCTGAAGCTGCACAAGCTCATGGAGCCGGTGAAGAACCTGCAGGACAGGATGTGTAAGAAGCACGAGCGGCTGCTGGAGATGTTCTGCAGGGATGAGCAGAAGTGTGTGTGCCAGTTCTGCACTGAGACTGAGCACAGAGACCACAAGGTTGTTTCTGTAGAGGACGAGAGCACGGAGAGGAAGGTGTGTGGTGAACTTTCTAAACTGTCAGAACAATTTTTTATGTATACTTATAAATCTGTAGTTCCTCTTACACACACTTAAACACTTGACCATAGGAATAGAGGAATCGAGGAAAAGAATAATGATTCAACTTCCTGTAGTCATGCCAATCAGCAATGCCTTTTCATTTATTTTGTGCCTGATTAGGTCCTTATTAAGAAGAGTGAGGCCGATTTTCAGCAGATGATCCAGGAGCGACTGAAGAAAGGGGAGGAGATCAAAAACTGTTTGAAGCTCAGCACGGTGAGCCACGACGCAAATATTTCTGTCATGTGGTTTATTGGATTCTCTCTTACTGATTTCTTGTTTTGGTCAAAGTAAAAAAATGTGTTTAGAAAGTCTGACATGAGTTTGGTAAAAGCTTAGAGAGACTTTTACACAAACACCAGTTCTTTAGGAGGCTAGGCGTATAAATAGTTCAGTTAGTTTCATGAAATTAGACCAAGAAGATGTATAATCCATAGACCGTATATAGGACAGATTCACATTCCTAAATGTGGAGCGAGTGAGAAACCTGCTTCATTTTGAACAGCCACCAGGGGCAGCCCTTGCCGTTGCAAGGTGGTGGATTTAAAGTGTGCAAAAATGAAGATGCAAAACCACAGAGAACAACATGGAGAAGAACACAGACAAGCAAATGAAGCATGTTGCACAAATGCAAAACTCAAATGAGAGAATAACATATATAGAGGAAACGGGACACGTGGGAGAAGGGAGAGAGGACAAAAGGCACTCTGTGGAAGAAAACCAGAGAATAATTACACTTGACTAAATGCAGAGTGGTGTATAAACACATAGGGAGTGAAAATGGTGAGTGAAGAAGAAACACTTCTTGCATCATGGAAAGTGTGCAGCAGCCTGCACATATTGCAGCATAACTAAGAGAGGATTTAGGTCAGGGGTTTCCAAATCCAAGCCTCAAGGGCCGGTGTCCTGCAGGTTTTAGATGTGTCCTTTATCCAACACAGCTGATTTAAATGGCTAAATTCCTCCTAAACATGTCTTGAAGCTCTCCAGAGGCCTGGTAATGAACTAGTCATTTGATTCAGGTGTGTTGGCCCAGGGTGAGATCTAAAACCTGCAGGACACCGGCCCTCGAGGCCTGGAGTTCAGCACCCCTGGTTTAGGGTATGATTTAAGAAAAGCATGAACTAGTTTTTCAGCATCGCTCTGAGACAAGATGTTTGTCATTTTAGAGATATGGTGGAAATGCTACAAAGCAGTCTTACATATGTATTTAATATGTGCATTGAAGGACATATGCTCAAAAACAACTCCAAGGTTTTGCCATCCAGATTAAGAATCTGGTTAGACAACATGAAAACACAAGATTTTTAGGTCCAAGTACAATAACCTCAGTTTTATCTCAATTTGGAAGCAACAAATTGGAGGTCAGCCAGGTCTTAATGTCCGTAAAATATTCCTTCAGCTTAACTAATTGTTGGATAGATAAAGCTCAGTAACATCTACACATCTATAGCAGTGAAAATGTATGCAATGCCTTGGAATAATACTGCTTAATCAGAATCAGAACAATTTATTGATCCCCAGGGGAAATTGTTGACTAAATACAGAGTGGTGTATAAACACTTAGGGAGTGAAAAAGGTGAGTGAAGTAGAAACACTCAGTGCATCATGCAAAGTCTGCAGCAGCCTACACCTATTGCAGCGTAACTAAGCGTTAGGATTTAGAGAAGCATGTATAATGTAGACAATAGTCACAGTATGAAACCCTCTGGAACTGTTCTGCCCGTTTCTGTGTTGGTCCTTTATTTGAAGACGTAACGCCAGGATACATAAATAATCATAATAGAGACAACCTCGGCTAAATGGCCCATGACATCAGATTGCATTTAGGTCTATGCAAATATAGCCTTCAGCTTACCCCCCTTTCTCTGTGACCTCAGTAGGCACGTTCCTGATGAGACTATGGGCTTAGTCTCTAGGTTCAGGTCCTATTGAAGAACACATGAACAAAATTATGGTTATTCAGAAGGGTAAGGACAACAAATTATCTAGGATATCTGAAGACTTATGATTGACTAGTTTTTTCCCCCACATCTTTTATACTATCTCTGGCACAGTCACGTAATGGGATTGATTTACTGACTTAAGTCCATGTGGTTTCTTGAGACATTCCTGTGTAGTCTTTGGAGTGTGATGGGCTACATAGTGCAGCAGGACAGACCAGAGCTGTCCCAGAGAGCAGTTTTTAGAGGGGCTGCTTGTATTAAAGGAACATGCATATGAAAATTCAAGGACCCAAAGGTCGTTGTAATACAACAAGACAGTCAGTGGTTTCAATGTCATGGTGGAGCTGTCCAGGAAAAGCAGGGAAGGATTTCAGAAACAGACCATCGAAAAGACCAAGATGATCACACAGCAGCAAACGTAACACATAACTTAATCTTTTCTTTTTCATTCAGGTAAGTGGAGAGATGGAGGTGAAGGAGAGCGATCGTCTCTTTACGTCTCTGATTCATACCATCAAGGAGAGACAGACCGAAGTGAATGCAGAGATAAAGGAGAAGCAGAAGGCAGTGGAGAGGAGGGCGGAGGAGCTCATCAGTGAGCTGCAGCAGGAGATCACTGAGCTGCAGAGGAGAAACACGGAGATGGAGGAGCTGAAGAACACTGAGGATCACCTGCACCTCCTGCAGGTTAACATTAAACTAGGACTTTGAGTTAGACTGATGACGGTTGAAACTTTTTTGGCTTTGGCATCACTTAATTACATTTAAAAAAAAAATCTCAACTTTATATGTAGGAAATATTGAATGTGTGTTAAGGGCATTCATTTAGTTTTTGTCATTTTGTGATCTAAAAATACCAAATTTTAAATGCCAGCATTAAACTTTCTATGCTCTATTTCTCTCTTATAAAGCATTTGCCCTCTATTACATCACCTCCACCCACAAAAGAGTGGATGGAGATCAACATACCACCTGAGCTCTGTGTGGGGACTGTGCGGAGAGCCTTGTCTAAAGTTGAACGGACCCTCATGAATGAAATGGAAAATTTGAAGAAAGAAGGTGACACAAGCTTAGCAGGAAAAACAGCCTTTTATTTTTGAGATGGAGCTCTTCTTAAAAATGTCAGAACTCATCATCTTACTTTTCTTATGACAGAGATGAAGAGGATGCAGAAATATGCAGGTATGCACACATTTCAATGCATAAATAAATAGCACTGCATTGCTTTCTGTCTTATTCTGTCATATTTAGGCAAATGCACGTTTTGCGTGCTTATGTATAGGAATGCTTGTAAAGATACTTTTAGTCATATGCTTAGAGACGCTTTCTTAACTTTCTTAACTTTTGTATCTATTCTTCTATTCTACTCAAATTATGGGTGCAGGATGACTGGTGCATTTCTCAGCTGATTTTGGTGAACAAACCTTAATTATATGCAAGCCAATCATGTCTGATTTGCATACCAACCATTAGAAGTTGTATAAGCTAAAGTTATTTTCATTTTACCTTGTAGTTGACGTGGTTTTAGATCCGGACACTGCCCATCCAAACATCGTCTTAACAGCTGACGGGAAGCAAGCGGGTCGTGGTGAGCTTCTTCACGTTGTTCCAGACAACCCCCAACGCTTCGACCCTGTCATCTGTGTTTTGGCCAAGCAAGGCTACATCTCGGGGAGGTTCTACTTCCAGGTGAACTACTTAATTATAAAATCCTAGTAATCCTAGAAATGCAAAACACGTTTTTGATTTCTCTCATTCTCATATTTGGTTTTTAATCAGGTTTCAGTCGGTCAAAAGACCTTCTGGGATCTGGGCGTGGTCAAAGGATCTGTCAACAGGAAGGGCATGATCACCTCCAAGCCAGAAAACGGCTACTGGACAGTGCGCTTGAGGAACGGCGATGAGTATCGAGCTTTAGACTCCCCTTCGGTCCGTCTTCCTCTCAAGGAGAAACCGGAGATTGTGGGGGTCTTTACGGATTACGACGAGGGAACCGTGTCGTTCTTCGACGTGGAGGCCAGATCTCACATCTACACCTTTACTGGGTGCCTTTTCTCTGAGAAAGTTTACCCCTTCTTCAGCCCGGGCGTTTGTGACGAAGGAAAAAACAAAGGGCCATTGATTATCACAACTGTCAATCATGAGTCATAGACTGGAAGAGCCTATACCTGCTTTTTAAAGATGCAAGGGATGTTTTATCTTTACTAAACTCGAATATTAATATTAAAGCTTTTTTGGTATTTGGGTTCTATGTAACATGTTTCATGGCTTGAAGTATTGATGTGAATGGTGACAGTGGTGCTTAAATGAAGAGCCTTTCTCTAATATATTTGCTGTTGTTCTAAAAGGTTGTTTTTTTGGACAAAAAAGTTGCACTACCAGCAAAAAATGCTTCTTTTTTGTATATATTGTCTTTTTAACAATCATCGTCCATGACGTGAAAGAAGCCACAATAAAACACAATCTCCTGTTTCAGATGCAATTTTTAATTTCTTCTAGCTATTTGGGATTAATTGGCCTCGACTAAGCTTCATCTTTGCATCTTTGAACAGAAAGTGTTTGGGTTCTTTTTAGTTTGATGAGTGTAGTTTAGAACATAATGTTTTAAGAAACATACAACATTTTAATGCGCAGATTGGAGTATAAGGTGCAGGAATGCCAGATGAGATGACGATGCAGGGACTCGGGAGGTTAAGTAAGAACTATAAGTCATCCTAAATGTAAAATGAATGACTATAGAAACCAATTTAAACTTCATCTGACTTACACTCAGAAACATGCAACACTAACCCTGTAAAGTCAAATGTATTAGATTTGGCCCATTTTAAGACATCAGTATGATTTTTGAACCCTAACCCTCTTTATTTAAGTTTTCAAGATAAACAAACTGTACACAAAAATGCCAAATGTAGTACAAATTAAGATAAGATAAGATAAGATAACCTTTATTAGTCCCACACGTGGGAAATTTGTTTTGTCACAGCAGGAAGTGGACAGTGCAAAAGTTATGAGGCAAAAATTAGGATACAATAAGAATAAATACAGTACACAACTGTACAGAATAGAATAAAATACTATATACAGTAGAATAAAATAAAATACTATATACAGTAGAATAAAATAAAATAAATATACAATAAGATAAAAATAGAATACAAATACAAATGCTATATACAAACTCCTATATATAATTTGATATTTAATTTATTCATTTTTAAATTTGATGAACACTTCAGCTTCAAAACATTAGAATTTGCTGGCAATTATTTCATGTTTCAGGCTTTACAGGGTTAAAATAAAATAAAGAATTGAGGCAAAAAATGTGAAAAAGCACAAAAACATCTTTAATGTTAAATGAGCGACAAACTTAATGCACTTAAATGCTTGACAAAAATGTCTTATTGTACGGTATATCCTGCCCTTTTCATAATGCAGCAGAGATCCAGAACACTGCTACCACACCTGAATTTGTATACAAATTGTATTTTAGTTACACAATGTACTTAACGTTATAATGTTTAATGGTGCTCACTAATTCAGTACAGTGATGGAGAGACATACGCCTTTGAGTCTGACCCTACTTCACTTGTTTACTGGTGCTTATTTATTATGGTTGTTGTTAGTTAATTTAAAAAAGAGAGAGAGAAATTGCCAGAATAAGGCTGTGACTATGTTTTGATCAGTTTTTTGTGGTGATTTGTTTTTTAAATAAATATTTGAATCAGTCCCAGCAGGACTACGTGTGTTTCCATGTGCTTTGCATTCACAGAGGCCTTCTGACTAAGGATAAATGCTGCAGGAGGGATTATTCGTCCTCTATGAGAGAGCGAGGACTTCTGAGTTATGTCCTCCTGCTTCTGATATGAAAAAATGCTTATAGGAAAATCTATGATAAGTTATTGTCTCTGCAGCTTAATCAGCTTTTATGCTTGGCACATGTTGAACAAATGCAAAGCACAATATTCAAACTTTCTTATCTTGTGCAGGTGTTACGGCAAAGTTACTGCTTACGAAAGCATTCAGTATTTCGAGTCATCTTTCTTCCTCGACATGATGGATGTAATCCAGTCTTAAGGAAAATATAAAAGATTATCAAGAACACTTAATGAGATAGAGTCTTGTCAGTTCAAGCAGCAAAACTCTCAGTGGAGATGATGAAAACTGTGGAATTAGTTCGTTTATGAATTCTTACTGTTAAATATAATCCTCAGTTGAGTTTATGTTTGAGACGTGTCTGAGTTTGCTGGAGGTCACAGACATGCAAAACTCTTTTTCTTGAACAAAAGTAGATTTTTGCATCCACCTGCAAGGACACAAGATCCGGAAATCCAGGCAGACACCTGCTTTGAATTTGCAGATTCAAGAGAAGGCTGCATCCAGCTTTTCACATCAGAGCTGTCTCCTTCACAGGTAGGAGTTATTGGGGGCTTTGATTGTTGTGTATCCTTTGCCTGACATTTGAATGTAATCCACCTTTTTGTGTTTTTATGAGTATACTTTAATCTCTCTGAAAGCAGAGACCATGGAGAAGAAGATGTTTTGCATCTTTCTATTCTCTGGTGAGTACATTTTCTCTCTTGCCTTTAAAGTTAATTGATCTACATCAATACTGAAGTGTTGAAGGACGGATGTAGAAGGCATAAAAGCTGTGATACAAAAGGTTTTTTTTTGTTTTTTTAATCGTTGGCATTACACACAGGTCTGTGCCATTTCACCTTCTCTTACCAACGTCCTCTGTACCACTTTATCAACAACCCTAAAGACTGGCTCACTGCCCAGCAGTACTGTAGAGACATGTACACTGATTTGGCAACCATAACTGATGAGCAGGACTTGGAGGATTTAGCAGGTCTGGTGGGGTCTGGTGGTCCCTTTGTGTACTTAGGTTTGTACAGAGATTGGGGCTGGTCAGTGTCTGAAAATGATGACTACAAAGTAGGAGAACCTGCATACTGGAACTGGGCAAGTGGTGAGCCCAGTGTTCAGTCCTGTGCAAGCATGTCAGCAACAGGGGGATGGTCTGCTACACCGTGCAACGCCACTTTAAGCTTCGTCTGCTACACTGGTAAGATTTTTAACACTTTTCTGTGCTGTTTACCTTTTGTGTGGGCCACAGTCCATACCACAGTCCCCCCCCTGCTTTGAAACGAGAGTCACTCTTTTAAAACTTAAAGTGAGAAAATTATAAAGAACCAAATCAGAAATTATGACACCAAACAAGCACATTAGAAGCAATTACAAGCAAAATGCTTATGAATTATGGTACAGCAACTTTTTGCACTTTGTTTTATAATATTCTGGAAACCTTTGATCTAACATTGTGCACCCCGGGATCATAATCATTATGTAATTCGAGATATTAAAATAATTCTGCTGACTAACTGAGCATTTTTTTCCCCAAACATCTGTTTTTTTCTGTAGCACTTGCCACTGCCGTTTCTGAAAGGTTTGTCCTGATCACCAACACCATGGACTGGCTCTCTGCTCAGAGCTACTGCAGGACTACGTACACAGATCTGGCCCGAGTGCAGAACCAGCAGGAAAATGACCTGCTGCAAGCCTTGGTGACAAACCAGCAGGTGTGGATCGGCTTGACGAGGATGTCCTGGAGGTGGTCTGATGGAAGCGAACCCTCGTTCATACCCTGGGGACTCTCTGTGATAACGTCAGCTCAACTCAGCGATTGTGGTGTGCTTGAGGTCAGCAGCAATCCTCTTGGGATGGTCCAAAAGAGCTATGCTGAAAAACAGCCCTTTATTTGCTACACCGGTAATCATTTCTTTCTTCTGTCATAAACCACAAACCGTGATTTGTATGATAGCCTTTTAAAAATTCCCTGAGGTCAAAATCATTATCAGTGATGACTAACCCTGTACTATCAAAATAAATAATTTTGATCACTTTTTAAATTTGTTTTCCTAAATCGAAGAAAATGTTATCCATTAAGGTATATATTGGGTTTATTTATAATCATTACTTATAATCATTTTCAAAGAGTGTGTGTAAACCTTGTGGGATCTGTAGTGCAATGTAGTGGCAGAAATTTGGAAGGACCAGTTCCTGTTATTAAAAAATAAAAGGTGTTTGGGAGCTTAATTTTAAATTGACCCCCCAAAAAATTCACTCTTATTGTACACGTAAAAAGATTTCTGGCGATTAGAGCAAGAAAACTAAAGGCAGATATAACTGGAAAGCACTGCTGAGGTTTTACACTTATATTACAGTGTAGTTTATCAAAATGTAGAGAACAAGAAATTACAAAAAGTTTCATTTAAAAGTTAGTGTATAATTGTATAATTACAACTTTTAGCATTTGAAATGATGATGAACTAAAATTAAAGAGGAATTTATAATCTTACCAGCTCCGCGGAAAAAGACATTGGTGCAAATGGAGCTCAGTGCTGATGTGGACATGACAGACCCAGGTGTGAGGGAGTCTGTCTTGAAATGGGTAAGTTGTGTAGAGTCATAAAATGCCAAGTAAAGTTTAGGTAATGAGAACAACTGCCAGATGTTTTTGAGGTGGACTGAATATCAACTCTGTAGGTCACTGTAACATCAACATACATTTTAAATGGAAACAACTTTATTAGACTCTTTTGTACAAAATTTAAAGGCGACCATCTATTCTCACTGGACAGTTTATCACATACAGTGTAGTAGTACTCAGCTGGACTCATTTTTGCCTTCAAGGAGTTTTCATTTTTCATGGCTTCAATTCAACAAGTTGCTGTAAACATTCCTCAGACACAGTTGCTTCAAATTTGTTGCACATCCATAAAGTAAATCTCCTGTTCCACCACATCCAAAAGGTGCCCTAATACATTGAGATCTCGTCACTATAGAGGCCATACAGTGAACTGTGGATACAGTAGATAGGCATGGTCAGGAACAACATTTAGGGATGATGTGGTATTTAAATGATGCTTCCTAGTACTAAGATGCCCAGGGTGTTCCCAGAAAGTGTCAGATTCTGACTTTCTGAATGTCGCATCAGAATCTGAGACCCGTCAAACACTTTTCTAATCTTCTTTTGGCCTAATTTGGTGAGCCTGCGTGAACTGTAGCCTCGGATTCTTGTTCTTAGCCAACAGATGGGGCACCCAGTGTTGTCTTCTGCTGCTTTAATCTATTAGAGATGCTCTTCTGCATAACTTGATGTAACAAGGCAGTCTTTTCATTCTTCTCTGACCCCTGACATCAAGGTATTTTCAACCAGAGAACTTCAGCTCACTGGATATTTTCTCGTTTTCAGAGCATTCCCTGTAAAGCTTAGCTATGGATTGTTGGAAAATCCCAGCAGATCAGCAGCTCCTGAAATACTAAGACCAGACTGTCTGTCACCACCAACAATGCCATGCTCAGTGTCACTTAAACTCCCTTTCTTCCTCATTCTCATGCTCAGTTTGAACTACATGCCTGAATGCGCTGAGTTCCAGCCATGTAACTGGATTATTAGATTTGCTAATGAGTGTTTAAGTTCCGATATAACCATTACATTTCTGTTTCTCTTACACAGGTTAAAAATAACCTGGGCGGTACATCTGATGACCTAAACGTGAGCTGGTGGAAACCTCCAGAAAAGAAATACCTCTTAAAGCATCAGAAATGTCCCCCATAGTTACCACTGTTTGTTTCTGCAAAAAAGAGGCTCAATATCATAAACGTACCTAATATACCTTTGGTATATTACTTTTATCATTTGCAAAAGTGAAACCAAACATGATTGATTTGTTCTTTATTTCTTAGGTTATATTTGTATATTTCCTTTTTCTGTTGGAGTGCATAAATAAACATGAAGGAATGCAAACTTTCAGGGTTATTTAAGGTGATGAACAACTAAAGAAGACGAGTTGTGTTTGTCTCATCAGAGAGAAATATCAGATCTGAAAATTAGCATCTACTTTGAATCGAGCTCAAGTAAACTGGATTTCCATGTAGTTTGCATACATCGAAGCAGGCCTTAGAGGACTTTTTCTAAATTGGTCATGAGGTGAAGTTAGAATAAAGTACAAGCCATTCTATAGGGAACATTTAGAACTGACTGCTGGGCTAATGCCATGCTTAAGCTAACTACGAGATTATGCTACTCAGGCCCATTTTGGTGTAAATCTGCATGTTAATTGGGGATCTTTCAAATGATCTTTATTAATAAAAAGAACACATCTGTGTAACAGTAGTTGAGGACTAGCTTTCCAGTTTTAATATTTTGTTAATTCATTATTGTATTTAAATTATATGAAGATCGTTCTCTTGTGTTAAGACTGTGGTACATACAATAATTCTTTGGTGTGATTCGACTTTAGCTTGGACAGATTTCCATTTATTTATTTATTACTGATCCTGCTGTGTGTGCAGGTTGCGTGGCTGCTCGCTTCCACTACGCTTCTTCCTCTCAGCGACATCAGTTTCCAGTAATTTGAGGAAAAGTACAAAAATTCCCAGATTTCTGTGGAAATGTTCTTTCTTTAATGAAACAATAATAATAAAGAGTGAATTCTGTTGGAGATATTTAATGATTTGATTTTACCAAGCATTTAAGTGATCTTTCATCACAACAATTCAAGGACTTTTTAAATCAAATTTCTTAATTGATGATTTCTCCAGGCTATTCTTACAGGTTTTAATGATGCACGGGAGTATTTTTAATCCAGTTTTAGTAGTTTCAACAATCTCCTTGGTTGTTTCATTGCTTCTTGTAGGCCCTGCTGCAGAGTTACATGCAATTACAATTATTTTCTACTGACAAACACTGAAAGGATTGCTTTTATAGCGTCATTTTGGCACCACCTGGTGGTACAATAACATATAATTGAGACTATTCCTTCTTTTTTTAACTGTTTTATTGAAGCATTGAAACATAATCTGACATTTAAAACAAAAACAAAAAACCCTGAGTGAAATATTTATCATGAAGTTCATTACATGATGACAGTGAAGCTCTGAAATCTGTTGTTTCTTTGGGATGCTTTTAATTTGAAATGTCTGATAAATACGGCTGTGTGTACGGCTGAAATGTGAACCCAAGTATAATAAAATTAATTGCTTTCAACTAAGCTGTGATCCTATAATTTTATAACTAAATCACAGCCAATAAAAAGTCAGAGAGAGGTAGCCATTGTAGGAATATGGAGTTGTTCCTTGCCGGTTCCCAGGTCTACTCTGGCCTGATGCTGTAGCACGTGCCAGAACCCCATCATTAAATAGTTGGCCTGTCAGCGTGTTCTTCAGTGACAACCCCAGGTGACTATTCATTGCATAGACAAAACTCATTAGCCTTATTTGGTAGCTTATCTATTATAAACTTTTTAGAGTTCTTAGTATGTTTGCAAACTCAATATTCTGTCGAACTACATCAGGGGTCGGCAACCTTTCTGATGAGTGCCATCTAAAATTTCCTCAGAAGTCAATGTGCCATATGATTGCATTAGCAATAAATTTAATAACACTCTATATTAACAGTTACACACTATATAGAACAACTATATAGAATTTGTCAGGGTCCTGGGTTGATGACCCAGTGTTTTTGGTTTTTGTACTTTTACTTTTGACATTGTTATGTATTATGACTGTTGTGTTTTGGTTTCCCAGGGGTTTCCTTTATGCTCTCTCTGTTTGGTGTCACCCCTGCCTGTGTATCCCCTCTTGTGTAGTCAGGTCTCTGTGTTTAATCTAAGTCTCTGAGTCGGTGTAGTTGCGTGTCTGTGTGTTTCCTGTTTTACTTTGAAGGTCCCTATCTGATGTCAGTGTGTTCTCTTTACGTTTTCCCTGCCTCGTCAGCTGTGATGTCTCCCAGGTGTGTTCCCCTCCTGTTTTCCATCCCCTGATTCTTGGTGTGTGTATTTATAGTGTGTGTTACCTCGTCCTCGTTGCTGGTTTATCTGTGCATCTTCCTCCGTCTTCCTGTGCATTCTCCCCGCGTTGTTCTCCCTGCAAGGTACCCTCACTCATGTGCAGGTTTTGTTGTTTAAGTTTTAGTTTTCCCAGTTTAGAGTGTTTTCAATTCTGTTTCTCGCCGCCCTTTTCGTTGTTTATTACCTCACCGTCAATAAAGCTTCCTCA